TTGCAGAAAAAAAAATCTGGCTGAAGATTTAGTTCATGAATGCCAGCGTGAATTTCAGATTTCACTAGTTGCCTTCCCGCTCCAACAGCATGTAGTGAGGCATTAAACAAAACAGCTATACTATACCCCAAATCCATTTAGATTTAATGCCATTGATTTTTAAAGGTCCTAGTGCTTCTAATCACATCACTGGATATTACTTGCAGAAAAAAAAATCTGGCTGAAGATTTAGTTCATGAATGCCAGCGTGAATTTCAGATTTCACTAGTTGCCTTCCCGCTCCAACAGCATGTAGTGAGGCATTAAACAAAACAGCTATACTATACCCCAAATCCATTTAGATTTAATGCCATTGATTTTTAAAGGTCCTAGTGCTTCTAATCACATCACTGGATATTACACATGAAAAGAGTGAAAATTGCTTTATGTCATCCTATTATATAAGACACATATATTATTACCTTGAGGGCTGCTCTTTTATCAGAATCCTACCAAAAGGTCTAATTGCAGAAATACCTGGAATATTAATGGCATCGCCTGCTGACCCAAATATTATACTCCCTGTAAAGTCTGTGACTTGAAGGATGATTAATAATTGGGATCAACATATTTTGAGAGACCAGGGTGGGTTTTTTTCAATCAGTGGATAGACAAGCATTTCTTGTCTCCCAACCTCCAACTCTCTCTCTCTCTCTTACACACTCACACACTTAAATTTACATCACTTTGTCACTGAAAGAGACTGAGTGATTTTGCTTCACCAGAAGCCTGCTAATGGGTTTGGAGACCTCTCTCCCTCTTTCTGCATATAAAAAAGTGCCTCAGAAAGAAGGGTGCTCAGCTAGAAACACATCCACAGGCACTGACAAACAGTGGTTGTATTGAAAATACTGCATAAATGGTAAATAAACTCCATGCAATGCACTGATACTGTATTAAGGGCTATGCTGATCAGACACAAATCCAGCTCCCAGTTGATCTAAAAGGGCAAGAACTCCGATCGGGTCCCTAGCCTCTTCCTTATTCAATTAGTACATTTCACCCGCATTCTGTCTGGCCGGCACTTTCCAGGCGGGCTGAAACTGACCAGATAAAGAGGAAATGCCTGTTTGATAGCAGCCCACAGAAGAAATTGAGGAAAGAGGCGTTACTTCTTGATCACTTGCGGCTAGCTGCCCTGCCCTTTGGTCCTGTGAGTAGCCTGTGTGACAGCTGTAAATGGTTCCTGTGCTAACTTGTCTTCAGAAACTAGAAGGTTTACAAATTGAATCCAATATAAATGAAGAGAGAAAAGCAAACCAAACCCCATGCCTACAATAAAATCGAAATGTCTGGAAGCAGCGACAAACGGGGTCTTTGCCTAACAGGATTAGCCTTATTACCAAGAGTTGCTAGCACTGACTCTTGCACTTTCTGCAAAGAATCAGCATTTCTCTGACAGCCACAATTTGATGTATTGCATTGTCTCTCCCAAAATTGTTTCTCTCCCAAACACTGTTCTCACTTCTCCAACGTTTAAAGAAACAACCAGCAAACAACCTCCCGCCCCCCACACCATGGCACTGATGCGTTTTGCGGGATCACATAACGACACTGTGTCCAGCCTAGAACAAACTCGGGGCTGCATTGCTGAACAGCCAACCTCAAGCAGAGTGTAGGGGAGATACTGAACCCTCCAGGCACTTTCTGCCCCGCTGTCCAGTCACTCCTGTGCAAATAAATGCACCCTGGCCAGGCGGGGCTCGCCCTGTCATTTGCAGTCCGCGCCAGGAGCGGCGGGTTTTTGGGACGAGCCCTGCCCTGGATGAGGCTAGCGGGAGGCAGGTGCTGGGGGTCTGGCTCCCA